TAGATAGGTCAGGTGGCTGACAAAAATGGCAAAGAATGGTCACTTTGTTTATTGTTTATTGTTTTGTTTGCCATAAGTTATACAAAGCAAAAAAAAGCGAATTATTTAAACTCTCATGGCGAGGAAACCCAATAGAAGGCACCGGGCTTATAAGGAATGGGCTAATTACAACAGCACAAGACTATCTAGATGGTTTTATGGACGAAAGTAAGGAAGAACTGGATACAGATGAAAGTCTCTCTGGGGAAGATAGTGACAGCTTGACAGAGAATGAGGAGTGTGGTGACTAAACCTTAAATATTGTGATGCTCCACTGAGGGGTTTAATGTGAGCTGGATTAATTTAAACTGTTTCAACATTTAATATGTGTTGATTGGTTAGTTCTAGCGCAGAAAATCTTCAAGAACGTTTAGATATAAAATGTTTTGTTTGATATGTCGAAGACCGCTTTTGTGCAAGAGTTGACATACATGTAGGGTTGTTGGGTTGTTCAGGTTGATCATTATTAAAGTTTAAAATGCTCACTGTGCAAGGGACTTGTTTGTTAAATAATATATTTTATTTGTTTATTTATTTTTATTTTAAGTGAACAGCAATGTTTGCTAAAAATGGTATGGCCCTCCCTAAAGCCCAGCTTAAACTTTTGGTGACCCTCCCCTTTTTGGCTACATAAAATTTAATAACCCTCCAACCATTTGCACCAGCCCTCCCCCCTCTAATAAATGACAGGTCCCTTATAAACAACCAGTTTTATAGTTGCTTATATATTCTTCAGAACATGTTTCGTGAAATCAACTGATCATGAGGAGCAGAGTTTAAGGTGGGAGTCTGGTAAAAAGCATTGTTTTCGTTTATTTCCCGAACCCTTTTTTAAAATATCTAGCCAAGATTTCATTCAATAGAAAAATGACTCAATTAGATCGGAGTCTATGGTTCAATAATTTTTGGATTATTTTTCGAATGTTTTTAAGGTAGAAAAATTAGGGGGTGTATTTGGATTTGGGGGTTGTTAAAATTGAAATAAGAAGTGAATAATTGCATTGTAGGACAAGGTCACGGTCGCTCGCTTGCGGGAGGTGGTGGTCGTCTACGGGAAAAAAAACAAGTTAGTACGTCCATAGTCACCTGGCAATCTGGAATAAAACAAACGCGAGCTTCGAAACACCTGTGCATTTATAAGAGCAGATGAAAAAAGTCTCACTTTTCCTTGTCTGCCCTTATTTTTCTAAGGTGCGAATGGCCTTGAGAAATATTTGTGAGCCATACAAATGGCAGATATATTCTTGATACGACAAAGTTTTCAAGGTTCTTGTTTGCCCTGACGACAGAACTGAGAGAATTATCTGGAAGATATCTGGTCAAAACTGAATGAGGATGTCCGAAAACTAATGCAACCAGCTCTGTAGGTCTAAAATGAATAAAAAATAAAGAATTTGAACAAAAACGTTTATAAACAGGTGCACTAAATTAAGAGAATGTACTGTTTGAACAGTATACGATCTGGCCAACGATAAAGGCCTTCTAGTGAAAGAAAAAAAAATGTTCTGTTGATGAGAAATGTGAAACTTTCTCCGTGAGTAGTATTAGTCGTTAGTTTGCCGCAACCTTCAAACTCAGCGGTCTTACCCATGGGCTCAAGTACTTCATTTAGTAGTCACGAAATGTCCTCTAGGTCATGAAGTAGTCAATCACGAAGTGTCCTCCAATGACGTCATCAAAAACTCAAGACGGCTGACCTCATGTTAGAGTATGAGTCGTTGTATGAAGTAAGGGTGAGCGGACTTTATATTGGTGTACGAACATGATAGCTTACACTTGTGGGAGAGAATTTATGTCCCTTGCGCGAATGTGCAGTACGCATGCGCAGTAGGGAAACTCGTGTGAAAACGTTTCAAAACGTTTTTGATGACCAAACTCATGTTAGAAGACAAAGACTGTCCAGCAACCCAAATAAACCTACCATCAACCCACCATCAACCTACCATCAGCCTGACATCAACCTACCATCAACCTGACATCAATCCCACATCAACCCGATACTATAAGGATCTCATGTTAGAGTAAAATAGTCATATCATTTTATTACATTTCAAATCACAAGTTTACATTCAAGGTTTACAGAGTTTTAAGATATCTTTGGCAATGGACACGCAACAAATCAAAGTCTCCGATGGTATTATTGTAAATGATAGTCTTCTCTGTTTCACTCTTCTTGGTTCGAATACGTTGTTTCAGGTCTTCAATCTGTTTCTCTCTAATCTGTAAAAGAGTTCGCATCATTGCCTAGACATGTTCAATTCCCTAAGGACTTTATCTTTTCTGTCGCATACGTGTCATAGTAAGAAAAAGCTTTTTCACAAACAGTGTCATATACTTGTTTGTTCCATTCAAACAAGAACGTGTTTAACGTTTCAAAGTTCAGAATCGTGATTGGAGATGTCTTCTACAATGAGGTCATGCATAAACTCTTGATACCCTGGAACCTTGGAAGTGTCTATCGCTTGTAGTAGTTGGTCCATCTCATTGTTACTATGGTCCATCGGCAATGAAGGCTTGTTGCTTCACACAAATACCATTTTTCATACACTATCAAGCGTTTTATTGAATTCACAGGAGCTGTAACAAAAGGATACTTGTACTTAATCAACCTATTACATAAATAATGTTTAGTTTAATAACGTTCCCATCGTTTCCTGTTCCGTAACCTGGCCACCATGGGTGTTCTCGTCTTCTGTTTATTAGATGATTTGCGTGTTGAATCAGGCGGGGTATCCAACAACAAAGGGAGTGCCATTTCCTCAGGTGAAATAGAAGGCATCGTTTCTATTCGGCGAGGAATTTTCGATTCCACTGTAGTCACAGGTGTCGCGGGTAGTTTTCTTGGCATTTTTGTAGACTTTGATTGAGATGTATTGAGGTCTCTTTTCCTGGACGCCTCTGCAGGTGTACTTTCATCTGTTTTGCCGGATGTCTCTGTAGCAGGCAAAGGATCTGGTTTGGGAAGGACCACAGTCGGTTTTATCGCCGACTCCGTTTTCATTTTTTTTGTCAGTCCTTGATACCGCTGTAGAAGTTGATCCAACATGAGGACTTTTTGGTCTTCTGGTAAAGGAGACTCTATGATTTGCTTCATGTCTTGATCTAATCTCGTCAACGTTGGAAGTTGAACAGGAGCAGTTAAACGCCGTTCTGTCTCCATGCTCTGTAATAAATGTCCCGGTATAATCACCATCTTTTGAGCGTGCTTTATTTGAACACTTTACCCAGTAAATCAACAGCAAGGGGTGCAACCAGAGCAGCAAGGGCTGGTAAAAATCCTCCTTTTTGATTGAGCACTTCCTTCTTCTAAGGCTTGGTTTCTTGCGGGTCAAATAGAGGAGCTTTGACTTGTGCGGTTTCAATCGTTTGAATGACGAACTCGGTACTATGATGTTGCCTTTAAGAAGATTTAGGGTCAATAGCTTCCATCTGTCCTCTATTAGCATGGGCTATCATATCTTTTCGTTGCTTTGCATTGCTTTTAAAACACGCACAAAGAAAGGGTAGGTGTTGTTGGAATTTGGATTGTTTGGAAATACTTGACCGCTTTCGTTTTGTCCCTCTGGTCTGAGTCGTAAGGCCAGAACGTAAGACCATATTGCCGCCGCGTTGATTAACAACTCTTGACTTCACTGTGCCACCTGCCTTACACGAAGGCATGGTGCTAACTGACGTTGACAGTTAGAGGTCCGTCTAGGGCAAAGATTGTGAGACAGGCAGTATGTTGCTACGTAATCGTAGGATAGCCGGTGTTCGCGGATGTAAATCCAACAAGAGATAACCATACGGCTGCGAGGTGACATCTTGAAAACTTTCCCATACGTAAGGAACGTGCCCTGCAAAAGCTTGTTGAGCCAAGGTTCGGAACCCAATGTATCACGAGGATTATTAAAGGCAATGATGTAATGAGCATTGAGAGAAATACTTCTTGAAAATTTTCCCGGTGGGAAAAGGTTTTGTGTCAAGTAGATGCAGGTGACATCACAATGATGAGACACTTTTGTGAACAGGTCCAGAATACGTTCGTCCTCGCTACAATTCCTCATTAAATCATCCAGCACGAGTATACCTGGACGACAACCCATTGGAAATAAAGCCGGAATATCTTCAGGAATACCCTCTACAAACGTAATCTGTGACGCCATGTCCTGAAAGCATTCTTGCCACTGCCCATAACAGTACACAATTTTACGAATAGGTCTTTCAAACAAAACGTCTGCATACTGAAGTAACAGTTTTGTGAACGTCGTCTTTCCACATTTGCCTCGGCCCTGCGATCATTACACTGCTCGGGCATTTGAACTGAGCCATGCTGCCCACACAGAACGAAAAAACAACTGATGCCAAAGTTACTGGTGCCTTTCTTTTTATAGGGGTGTATCTCAAGTCCAATACAAAATAAACACATCATGTTCATTTTAAACAACACTTTACTGATTCCTTACACCAACATTTGAATGACTTACAAGTTTGTTCACTCTGGAAGAATGGTGACCTCTTCCTAACACTTGTCAACGATTTTACATAGCTGTGAACAAATGTGGCTACTTGTGTATCATTCCACTGTGTATCGTGCGACCTAAATTTAGCGTGAATAGCGTCCATATCAACATTGCGTGCTCGATAAACAGTAGTCTCCACAAGAGTCTGAAGTAAGTCCCTGGAACGGTTTGTTGTTGTAACGCGTAACATCTCGCTCGATGTATCCATCCATGCCATAGGTATCGGGAGGAAACCCGTAACTGTCATAGAATTCACTTTCCCACGGAGCAATAAAGTACATGGCCACCCAATGTGTCCCGGGCTGATCATGAGGGTCCGTATTTGCGATCAGTCCCGAAGGATACTTGTTAACGATAGGTAACTTGTCTCTTGGGAAGACACCTTGCATAACGGGAGCTAAAATGGGGTCTTGTAGTGCCGCTTGCCATAGCTCAAAGGTGGTATGCATCGTTTTGTCTTTAAGCACCCTGTGACAGATGGTACACCACACGTCTGTTACGATCAATTTCCAACTGATTCTGGAATTCTGCGTACACAATTAAATTGAGAACTGCAGGGGTCTCAGTGCCAAATTTTAAATACAAGTTGACATTTCCGCTGCGATTAGGAATCAAATGATTCGGATGGCCACTTCCTTCTGGTGTTGTGTCCAAGCGAAATAAACCATAACCCTGCTCCCATTCTTCCCTGTCAATGTCTATACCATGACCACAGTTCATATCACCACTTCCTGAGAAAAGTGTATTGTAGCCATCGATTTTCTTGCTACCTATCAAGTCGATGCCTGAGTAAGGCATTTCTTCTCCATTGACTGTTAGACGAACAGCATTCAGATCAAACAGCTGGAAGTTGAATGGGTTCCTCCCCAAGTTTCCATTGTAAGCATCGTTTCGCACCATTCCAAATATGATGCATTGGGGGATGAGACCATTGAATAGATCGGTCTCTGTGTGACTTAATACTCCTCTGGGAATGATCCTAGCATGCGTAGGGGTTCCTGTTAGTGTATAGATTGCAGGAAGTGCCTTCTGACCCGTCATGGTGTTTACGTGATCCAATTTAGTGCTGTCTGCCACATGAACAGTACGTACACGGAGCGTGCTTAACACTATTTGTAACTTGCAATCGTTGGCATCTTCACCACCCATCAGACTAAATTCACTGCTGTTAAGATCTATCTTGATTTTGATTTCCAATCCATCCAACAGTAACTTGTCAAGGTTGAATACATCACACAGGGGTACACCAACCATTCCAACTTCAGCATCTCCAGTGGTAAAAGAACCTCTCCTTTTTAGACCCAAATTTCGATGTGCTGTATTATCCACCTCATCCATATGCCCAGCAGTGTCTTTGTAGTACAACACTTTTGTCAAGTAAGATTTCTTGGCCTGATCAGTAAAGTTAAGGAAGGTCTTGATATAAGCATTGTAGGCTTGTGTGTCTGATTGTTCTGTGACAAGGGTTTCATTGATCTTGATAGTGAACTGTTTTATGATAGAATGAAAAGCGTTGTTGATCAACGTATATTTCTTCCCAGCTCCTGTCTCTCCTCCGTTTCGTTTTGTAATTTTCACCACCAGACGAAGTTCAGTCTTGTTAATGTCGATGTAATCGGACAGAGGTTTGATCACAAATTCTATGGGATTGGTGCCACTCTGAATTGGTTCATAGCCCACCCATTTACTTTTGACAATAGAAACATCGGTGACCGGCACTTCGAATAACTGCAAACTGGAGTTAACTCCTGGAGCAGAGAAGGGATGTGCTGAAGCCATACTCAGTCAAAAATAGTCTTGAACGTTGCTGACGATGTTCTCGCTTTCTTGACTTGTCTTGTACTGTCAGAATTCGCCTTTCGTTTGCATTTATATACTTTTCCACGCCCTTGTTGTTGCGTCATGTCCCGAAAGGCCTCAGTGAAAAATTGTTTTCCGGCAGCTTTTGCTCTCGTTTTCGCTGCTCTCTTCAGTGATTGCCCATTCATAACATCTTGAGCAATTTGCACTCCTGTGTCTAATCCAGTGGACAGTAACCGTTTTCCCACTTTCGTTGCAGCAGTCTTGAGAAGAGGTGTTGCTGTTCGAGAGAGAGAACGAAACATTCCTCCCAATCCATTTCCACCTTGACCATACGGGTGTGTTCCTCCATAGATACTAATATCTCCTTTACCTCGTTGCGCAATAGGAATCACATAGCGCTGATAAGGATAAAATTGGTGGTTCATTGGTAGAAGCATCTTACAGAATTGTCCTTCGTCGAAAGTGTAATGTTATTCTGACAGCACCAGACGCAAATGATATCAGTCGACCTGTGTCGCTTCTTATATTCATTTCCACCGAGAAGAAAATAGATGTTCGCAATCGATGATAGGTAGGGCGTTTGATTTCGTCTGCTACTATTTCACCCGGCTGACCGCGAGGTAATATCATACGCAGCAGATTGGCTTGTACTTCTCCTACCACTAAGGACTCTATTAGGTCAGAGTAGACATACATGGTTTGAAACGAATGCTTGCTTAGCATTCCCCATACCAATACGTTGTTTCGTCGTATCGTGGTGGTGGTAGCTGTAAGGGTCATACTCTGGTTCTTATTTAGTTGAACAGATGTAGGACCACTGGTGTGATGAAGGGCTGGTACGAGATCTCGATGGTTCAAATACCCTAAAGCTCGAGCCAGGTTCTTGGGTAACATCACTTGAAATCCTGTGGGTAAGTACAATTCATAGTAATATTTGACTTTCTCGTGAATGTAGAAACATTCTTTGCCTCCAAGACGTTTGATCTTCTTTCCACTCTTGATATAAATGTCTGGAAAGGCACTTTCTAATCCTGTCACCATACCACTGATCAAATCCTCGACTGTTCTGTATGTGGCTCGGGGTAAATATATCGGTAAGGTCCATTCCTTTTCACCATTGTAACGTAAAAGATAGGGCACCTGATTGCTGTGTATATTTTCCCAAGTATGTGGGTAAATAATATGCGTCATGGCCACTTCCCAATCCTCACTCAAATGCAGTTGACTTGGGAGTTGCATTTTGAAACTGGAAGGTGTGTTCTCAGGATACTGATCTATGCTTGCATCACTGGCTACCACGACGTAAAAGCTACTACTCATCTTGTTCTTCTCCGAAAATGTAGTACAACGTTCACTGTTCCACCTTGAAATGATATAGGCTGACCACATCCACTTGTTAAATAGATGTCAATCGTTTGAAATGTCTTGGTTCTCAAGGGTAGATAAATTATGTGTTCAGGCTGCTTCATAACTGTCTGTCGGAATGAACCGTGTGGTACCATTTCATGTAACAAAGACGGTCGTGTGTCACCGACCTGCCAAGGCTCGATCAGATTCGTGTGTACTTGGACTACTCTGTGTTTACGGCGACAAAGAGAGACTGTCTGAGGTATTTCATAGGTACCCCGAAAAGTGATAGAGTTACGGATGGGCAGCACACACCACGTATATCCAAAATCATTGACCAATGAGGGATTCATTTTTACACCCATCGTGTCTACTTGACGAGGTTTGTTTTCACTGTTTATCCATCCAAGTGCTTGGGCAACAGGGGCTGTCACCATTATCCACACGTCTTGAGATGTGATTGTTATGTTCCACTCATTATCAATAGCTATGTTCAAGTGCCAGGGTGTGGGGGCTTTGTTCATGCATTGAAACAGTCCTTCTACCACATCTAATGCTGTTCGATACCGTCCAACAGGTAAGGTGAACTTTTCAATGTGCTGACTTCTGAATCGCCGCAACATGAGATGGGGGTGGTTTCATTGGTGAGGGACTTAGAACCAAGAGACTGGATAAACGACATGATGAAGTTCAACTTCCCAATCTTCTTCGTCTGGTAAATGAATTTGACGAGGTTATGCAACACGGTAATACGAAGCTGAGTTGGTAGGAAATACGTTCGTATTGACATTACTGGGAAGTATAACGTAAAAATCTCCATCCTGTTTCATGTTTACTGTAAGGACACCAGCTGCTTATGAGTAATCCAACTATCGTATTTCTTGGGCCAACCTTTCCAATGAACCAACGCTTCTTGGGAAGCACCTTTTCCACGATACTTTAAAATTTTTTCAATGCGAAACAAGTGATCTGGCTTTTCTAGTACTTTCTGTAGCCCTGGCTCAGAAAAGGTGCCTTGAATGAAATCACCGTCTGCTTCCTTTAGGCGATACGCCGGAGGATCTCGGGGTATTCGTTGGGCAAAGGTAAATGTCTCCTTCGTCCAGGATGGCAGATGACCTTTCTGAAAGATTCGCTTGTGCTTACTGATCTTGACTTGATCTCCTACCTTGAATTTATACTTGGTGGGGGCTGATTGTTTACCGTACAAGGTTCTCCAAACAGCGTGTCCATTAGACTCGTTGACATCGGCCGGTTTCATTTTGATGCTTCGGTGTAGACTCTGATTGTAATTTCCGTTGACCAAATCATCTAGTTTGTCCAAATAATGGTAGGAACTGGTCATGGTAAGCATTCTTTACATTAATTGCTTGAGAGTCCTGTTGAAGCGCTCAACCACTTGGGCTTTGGTTTCGTTGTATGTCACAAAAAAGTGCACGTTTTCCTCTTTAAGAAATGTTTGAAAAGCTCTGTTTTTGAATTCACTTCCACCATCTGTTTGCAACTTCTCAGGTTTACGCCCTTGTCGAAATATCTCCTTGAATGCTGCCACAAGCTCCTTGCCGGTTTTAGTCTTGAGAGGAACCACCCACGCAAACTTAGAAAGCACATCGATACAAGTCAACAAATACTTGTAACCACGGTTCCATTGACTGAGACTTTGCAAGTCCACTAAATCAGCTTGCCACTGAGAATCTATCCCAAAAACAATTACTCTGTTGCGACGAAAGTGTTTTCTTGCAGGTTTGTGTAATGTGTAACCGGGTTGTAATTGCAACCATTCAAGTACTTGAGAGCGAGTTACTCCATATCGACGGGCTGCCCGATATAGTTTGTCCACACCACCCAAAGCTGAAGGACGGTCTAGTTCATAGTACAGTTTCTCTAAAAGTCGGTTCTTCTGGTTGCTGCTCCTCTTCTTCCTGTTCTTCTGGGGCCTCCTTTTGGTACTCGTCTGATGCATCTCTCAATTCGATGTGTACTTCACTGCCACAGCATGCAACTAAACAACGCATCCTGTGACATATATCACTTAAAGCCAAAGTAGGCGATGAGTTTCCACAAAGACGACTTGTGACACCACCCATGGTTTCAAAAGAACTGATTGGTAACGTTTGTCCATATGCTTTTTATATGCTTGTCCCGGTAACATTAACTGGGTTTGACTTTAAATTGATTGGCCTCATTACCAGTATACTTGGAAGTGACATCGCTCACCAGGGTTAAGTAAATATTCGACATGATGTCTGAGCAAAGCGTTTACCCAGTAAAGAGCTTCCCATCTATTTATAATCAGAGACCACACGGTTGTTTAAGACTCGTAAGTGACTTTAATATGTCATATCACCTCGCTTTCGTTACAATTAACTAAGCTGAACCTACTTGGTTTCAAAAAAACCATGCAAATGTTCTCTTTTCACAAAATTCTATTACAAAGACAGTAACAGGGCCACCTCATTGCCGTACCAGCTGTAACCGTCCGGTATAGAGACTCGTGAAGATCGATCAATCACCCGCTTGTCAAACACCAAACCATATTTCTTGACACGTGTCGTTAACTTGATTTTCTTGGTCCCTTGATGTCGTTCAAAGTAATCGTCGATGGTAATGTTAATGTCACACCGTTTTTCTTGCGGGTCATCCAATTCTTTCAAGATGTTGTCTTTCATCGTCTGGTAATTGAGTTTTTGCATGGCTGCCTAGTTTAAGAAGAATCCACGCACTTTGCATTCAGTTTTACCGCTACGGGTTAGAATCCGTTTGTACTTTCTGAGGCTCACGAGGACCTAACCTTGTCCATAGTCTTTCTAAGGCTTCGACCAAGGCGGTGCCACTTTTACTCTTTAACGGCTTCACCCACGCGTATTTCGACAACACATCAATCACGGTGAGTAAATATTTGTAACCCTTGTTGTATTTGGCTAATTTTTGAAGACCCACTGAATCCATCACAAATTGTTCATTGATGCTAAAGACTTTGGTGGGTAAGGTTGGAAAACGTCGACATCGCGGCTTATGCAGTGTATAACTAAGAAGCTGTTCCAGTTGTTGTTTCGCTTTCCTTTGGGGTATCTTGTGTGCTTTGGCAAATGCATTCACACCTCCTAACGATCCTAGTTCTGAGGGGTCGACATAAGTTGTTCATAGTTTTGAAGACATGATACAATAGATATTGTCCCACTAAATAGGGAAATGAATACATCCACGTAAGATAGTCTCTCTTTAAACAGCGAAACATCATACAGCCTTGAGAAGGAAACTGTCGATCCAACCAAGTGATATAGGCGGCATAACGGCCTCAGGACGTTTGTTGATGCATCACAAAAGGAAATAAAACAAGAGGAGGACATGAATCTTGAGGAATGTCAATGTCTTGACACAAATGTCGACAGATCCACACAGTGCTTCTAGACTGTACATTACCCATGGTTGTATGACTCACTTGAAAACAAAATCACTCCTTTATACTTTTGAGCTTGACGCAATGACGATATACTAACACCCAAAGACAAGTCTAATGAGCTCGCGTCAGCAACTTTTAATGTAAACAACAAAATCAGTCACTTTTAATTTACAATCATGTAAGCAAAGTTTTTAAGGAAACACAAATCCTCCAATGGTTTCTTCCTATTCCACTTTACGGCGTTTCTGCAACCTTTCTTGCACCATGTCATTCAATCGTTTCTTCAAAGCAGTAAGGGTAGCTGTTTTAGGCACATAGTTAGGTTTGGGTGGCTGATGTATCCACTGAAAATAACGACACACCGTCTCCCTGGTCTTGGGACAACATAGGAACACTTTGTTCAGGTTTTTGGGGGTTTGACTGAACTTGAGGGTAGGGACCAATCCACAGTGACAGGCAAAGGTTCCCCATTGCTGTTGGATTTTGGCATGCATCTCGTTGCATATAGTGTTCAACACTGTCTGCTTGTTGACCGCATTGCCAAAGTACACAGGGCAGGTTGATCGCTTTCCTTGGTGGGGAAGAATAAAGTGTGTGCGCAGTGGTTTGCTTGCATCCAAAAGATACTCTTGCAAAGCCACCTGCTCCAAATCAGCAGGCAAATCTACTGGGGGCTCTACGTTTCCACATGCTAACCAGTCTTGAAACATCATTTCTTCATAGGTGGGAAAAGCAACATTTTCGAATGCTGATTGTCATTCTCATTTACAATCACTTGAACTGATTCAACGACTTCCATTCCGGTGGTCTTTTTTGGTTCTTCGTTTTCTTTTCTTTAGGTTTTGGAGCAAGAGCCATAATGTCCTCTACATTAGAACTAACAACGATATCCATTTCAAACGGAGGTTCTTGCAACTTACACATACTGTTTGCTCAAATCAAATACACACTCGTTTATACTCAATTCCAGTCCTTAGGGAATTGGACATGTCTGAGCAATGACGTCACTCTTGTCACGTTCTTTCAGACTATAAAAAGAGTGAATTACGTCATACACTATTTTATTCCACAACATGACTCAGCCAAATGAAAACTCGTTTTATATCACGCTGACTAGTAGTAAAACGCAGGAATTTCCCGAAAATTCACCGTCGCATTTTCACTATCGTTTGCCTCAAACATTATGGTTACTAGGCAAATGGAAAGTGGGTTTGGCAAGCCCGTTTTTACCTGGCGCTTCCAACCCCATCCCTCATGTTGTCACATTGCATACCAGCTCCTCTCTGACAGTACATCATGAAACAAAACCTACCAAACCTTTTTGGTTTCGATCGTAACTACACCTCTACAAAGGTACAAACACCGATATTATGTTTCAGCAGTATGCAAAAGCCTTTAAGTCAAGTCAATCGCAAGAATTTTTGTCCCAACTCAAAAAAGCAGATTTACCCGAAGCGAGCACAGGCTTTGAATTTTTGTCCAAAGTTTTTCGATGGATGGAACAGGATTTAAATAGAAAATTACCCACGGGGTATGCATTTGAAGACAGTAATGATCAATGACGAATAGACCTTTCTGCTCAAGATAATTACATGACTTGGCTGTTTCGTCATTACAACATTGAAAGTACCAACAGAAAAAGTGTGTTCTATTTATCAATTAAGCTGATGATTGCTAAACAGATGGGATGGGTTGTAGAAACAGCCAACAATGTGTTTGCGGTGGGACCGAACTTACTAATGGAACTTCCAGATGGTATTACTGGAGTAAAACCAGATCCCGCGACCTGTCTCAATGCAAAATTTACTTTTACTCAACCCATTCATGTAACAGACGGATTGCTGTATCTTTGCTCCACGTTTAGTTGGCGCTTTGTGAATTTAATTGAAGCCTTTGACAAAGCCATTAATCAACCCTATGAAACGCCGAAAACAGTCTTGAATGTTTTCAAACCATGGATGACCAATCTCAAGTTATGGAAGACAGTCTCTGGGATGGACTTGGACGATTACTTTGTCGACCTGCCTATGTCTCCCCATTATTGGAAACCCACGACTCTGAGTGTGACTTTGCTAGAAGGGATAAAAATTGTGGATGGGGTGTCAAGAGGTGAATACAATGGGGAACTGGAGATTGATATGAGCTCGTTAGCGCAAAAAAACACTTACACTGTGGCTTTAGAATGGTATCGAAAAGATGCATGGTTGTTTAATCGTTCCAAATTTTTGGCAGAAGGTTCAGGTTTACAAGTCGATTACTTGTCGGTTCAAAAACATACTCATGAGCAAAACAAAACCCATTTGATTTATTACCACACTCTTACCATTCAATTCACTAAAACTTCAAGTAGCGATGCAACATTAAACATCAAGTTTGAAATAGGGTATCCTCTGCCTGCTTAAGTCCTTAGGGAATTGAACATGTCTAGGCAATGATGCGAACTCTTTTACAGATTAGAGAGAAACAGATTGAAGACCTGAAACAACGTATTCGAACCAAGAAGAGTGAAACAGAGAAGACTATCATTTACAATAATACCATCGGAGACTTTGATTTGTTGTGTGTCCATTGCCAAAGATATCTTAAAACTCTGTAAACCTTGAATGTAAACTTGTGATTTGAAATGTAATAAAATGATGTGACTATTTTACTCTAACATGAGATCCTTATAGTATCGGATTGATGTGGGATTGATGTCAGGTTGATGGTAGGTTGATGTCAGGCTGATGGTAGGTTGATGGTGGGTTGATGGTAGGTTGATTTGGGTTGCTGGACAGTCTTTGTCTTCTAACATGAGTTTGGTCATCAAAAACGTTTTTTGAAACGTTTTCACAGGAGTTTCCCTACTGCGCATGCGTACTTGAGCCCATGGGTAAGACCGCTGAGTTTGAAGGCTTTGTTTGCGGCTTTGTTTGCGAACGCGAGGAAAGTTAATGTTAGCGAATTTCGGG